CCTGCAAACCTTCAGAGAGAGGTGGTCCTTTACAGATAGGGAGTGGCCAGGGACCTTCTCCTTCTCTGTACTGTTGAGATGCAGACAAGTGCAGCCCTTCCTGGCCTCTTCCCCTTTGGGGAATCCTTGGTGTGCATTTGAGAAAATCCTATTGCTCCAGAGGTTACTGAAGTGAATTGGAAAAGCTCTTTTCAAGAGTCACTGGAACAAGCTAAGAGTCACATTCACAGGTACCCCTAAAAATCCCTTCAATGCCACATTCTTGTCTCCTTTATGTCCCCTTTAGTCCATGTAGGATTGATAAGCTGTGGTATGTCTGTACCAAGCTCCCTGCCAGCATGTATTTTCAGTCATACTTATTCCTTTGAGAAATGATCCCAATGTTCTTTGTTCCACTGCTCTTTGTTCTGTCTGTTCTTTGGCCCACCATAGGTTAACAGAGTACCTGTGACTCCTTCTGGACATAACCAGTAGCTACTGGGGATTTTTGGTGAATATTGTCAAGCTGGGTCAAATATTGTAAGAGTTTTTCTCAAACCAAATCCATAATAGTACACCAGGGATGTTTCCATTCCTACTGAAAGACTTGGACAAATCCTGGTCCTTTGGAAGTTTTACCATCAGTTGCAAAGGGAGCAGGAATTCATCCTTAGGACTATGAGAACATCGGCAGAAGGACTGTTAGAAGGCTCTGAAGTCTTCTAAACAAACGTTATGATCCACTGAAAAATATCAGTTTCATTGTCCAAGAAAAGGGCTGAATCTCCTCTCATGTTGATTTGTCATAAATTACAAAACTAGAAATAAAGAAGTTAGATGGAGATTTTAGAGGGGAAAGCTTAGTGAAAGCAAAATACTTCCTTTTTTTCTTTGGCTTTTTTAGTTAATTTTGTAGTTGTTTTGGTCTCACATTGACAGGGATTTTACAGGAATCAAAGAGCTCTTACTCTTCTTGTGGGCCCATATGAACCTCATGAGGTTCAATAAGGCCAAGTGCAAGGTCCTACCCCGGGCTGGGGCAATCCACATTATCAATACAGGCTGGGAGATGATGTGCTAGAGAGCAGCCCAGAGAAAAAGGACTTAGGGGTGTTGGTGGACAAAAACTGCACATGAGCCAACAGAGTATGCTTGCAGCCCAGAAGGTCCAGAAGGTGATTCTGCCTCTCTACTCTGCTCTGGTGTGGCCTCACCTGCAATACTGTGCCCAGCTGTGCAGCCCTCAACACAAGAAGGATGTGGGCTTGTTGGAACACGCCCAAAAGAGGCCCACAAAAATGATCAAAAGGCTGTAACACCGCCCCCACGAGGACAGACTGAGTGAGTTGAGGTTGTTCAGCCTGGAGAAGAGAAAACTCCAGGGAGATCTTAGAGAGGACTTCCAGTACCTGAATGGAGCTACAGGAAAGATGAGGAGAGACTGTTTACAAGGGCACGTAGTGACAGGATGAGGGGCTTTGGTTTTAAAGCAGAGTAGAGTGGGTTGAGATTAGGCATTAGGAAGAAGTTCTTTTCAGTGAGGGTGGTGGAATGCTGGAACAGGTTGCCCAGAGAGATGATGGAAGAGGCTTCACCCCTGGGGGCACTCAAGGTCAGGCTTGGTGAGGCTCTGAGCACCCTGATCTAGTTAAAGATATCCCTGCTCAATTGGGGGTTAGACAACATGACCTTTAAAGGTCCCTTCCGACCCAACACCTTCTATGATTCTCAGTATACAGGATGTTTAATTTAGTTTGCTATCACTCATTAATGTTGCAAAAAGTGATGCAGATTTTTACTAGTGCCTTAACTTCTCGCTTTGCACCCAGAAAATTTAGGGTGAGTTGCCAGTGATATAGATGCTGAGACCACGGCGAAGACAATCGTCAGTTGTATTTTTAGACTTGATTCTTTTAAATATTCATGAAGTCATATAAACCAGGATTATTTTAATGCTTAAATTTAGCACTATTGTTCTTCTCCAGCTTAGTAATAACAGAAGTGCATATGTTTGTCATTGTTTGCTTCCTTCTGAACACCAGTGTCTTTTAATTCCCCTGTGGTCCCTAGGAATGTGATCTTTTCCTGCAAAAAGACTCTTTATGAAATTAATGTCCAGGCCTATCCCTCAAGCAGCAGAAAATATTCCTGGCAGACAAGTTTATTTTGATCTGACTACTGTCAATGTCCATGCATACGTCTGTTTACCAGTGTGGTAGAATTCACAACCTGGTTGTGATTTTTGCCAGGGCAAAATGGACTGGTTGTATTTCCCTCCAGGATCTTTTTGTTTAGTATACCAGTAGAGGGCACATTGTGTGACAAAAGCATTTACATGGATTTCACTTCCTCTGGGGTCGTCTCATGTGGCATACAGCAAACCCTTGAAACAAGGTTTCCTTTTTAACACCGTAGATGGGTTTTATTAATGCATTGAGAACCCTGGAAACTGGTCATGGTGTACAGGACAAACTCAAAAAAACCCTGAAAACTAAAGCAGGGGAAGTTTTTTCTCTATTCCTTCACGGCTGTGTCTTGCCTTGATCATTCGAAACTATGGCTATAGGTGGAAGACTGTAGGTTTTGGGGCCATTTAGTTCTTGTCTGTCTTACTGAAAGAAGATGTATAGTGTTGGCTTTTGTAATGTAGATATCTGTAAGAACTGCAAGGCTCACAATAATCTGGTCATCTATATTCTATTCTGCTGCTTAAATTGGTGTCTCTGCTATCTCAGTAATGCATTACAGTAGATCTATGGATATCACAGAATATCTACCACAGGATGTATTCTTTCAATTACTCTTTGTCTGAGACAGGGCTACCTCTCCACAAAGTAGCACCTTTTTATTCCAATATCTGTTCATTTTGATTCACTGTCTTCTGAGCCTACCCTTACTTTAAAATTGTACTGTTTGGTCTTGGCAATGGAAGAAACAAATAGTTTCAACTGTGTTTCTATTCCTGGATTTTCTGTCTTGACTTGTTTTTCTTTGTTCCAAGTTTTAAATGAGGAGAATTTAAAATCATTAAAAATAAATGGCTCATTGTGGATTAAAAAGAAGTAAACAGTGAATAAGCATTGTCTATTTCTTTTTTATGGACTGTAGGAATTAATTATTTCTGCTTTTGTAGATACAAAATTCATCTTGCCTATGGGTGTGCATCATTGGATGCTTCCAGCATTAGTTTCTTATTAATCAAAGTATCAAGTTACCACTGCTTGGTGTTGAAAAGACCACCCTTCAGTGGCGATAATTGAGTACATGATTAATTATTTTTCTCTTGTTTTCATGGGAACCAAAGTATGACTATATATAAATCAGATCTCTATCATTTAGAAGTAGGTCAATTTCAAAGAATATATGTAGAGATATTATAAATTATAAAATAATATCTGTACATGTGTAAAGAAGTGCAAGATAATGTGACTTAGAAATGGTTAATCAGTGTGAGTGTAAAAAGAAGGATGAAAATGCAATTAGATGTATTCCAAGGGAAGGAGCTGATGATCCTTCTGGGTCCCTTCCAACCTGAGAATTTGGCAAACATGCTAATTTTTTGATTACCTTTAATTCATTTTAAGATTGAGCTACTTATGGAGAAAAATAATCTCGTGGCCTGGATTTATGGATACTTAACCCTGTTTTAAAATCTCTTTCCTTGAAGTGTCCAAATGCAGCTTACGAGTTAGAGTATTACTTTTCTGTCATCAGGACAGACAATTAAGGAGCTCCATGGATGTCTAGTGGGGTGGTGAAATACAGTCTGTAAAGTGATGACCTTGGAAGAGACCACCTCACACATTTAAACTCTGGTATCAGTTCAGCTTCAAGAGCTTCTAAAAATGTAACATTTTATTGAGACTTCAAGTGTTTATAGATTTATTTCTTTTCAGATCTATCTATTTAATTTCTGCACTAGGTTCTTCTGAGGCAACTGGAAATGCTGGCCTTTTGGATCAACTGGCAGCTTTGAAATGGGTGCAGCAGAACATTGCTAGCTTCGGAGGAGATCCAAGCCAGGTTTGTCTAGGAGCCGACCGTGGTGGGGCAGATGTTACCAGCATTCACCTGCTCACAGAGACAGCGAGTACGAACCTCTTCAGGAGGGTGTTGTTGATGGTGAGTTCCATTCCTGCCACTTCAACTTCATTGTGAAAGGATGTGGTTACAGACCTTAGGATGTTGTGGTGTGAGCGTGCTGTTTTTATTTGATCCATGCCTCGGCAGCACTAATATTGCTGTTATTGCTGTAGTTATTTTTCATCTCACCTGTGGCTACTGTCTCCAGGAGCTTCACAAGGATGTACAAGATGCACTTTGGTGATTGATTTAGTCATAGTAAGAATCTGCTTTTCGTCACTGTGGTTTCTTGTGTATATATAAATAGACTTGTTTCATAATTTACAGGTACAGCAGGTTAGTTTCCATTCCATAAATACGGTTGTTGATCAGCAGTTTTTATACTCTAAAACTGATGAGCCAAACATCCGCAGGTTTAAAGTATCCAATCATTCTATCTGATCTCGTGACAAATTTAATTTAAAAGAAAAAGCAAGTTTCAGAGAGAGCCTAAAAAACTGTTTAGCCACAAGCTTGTCTGCTGTCAGCTTGGACCATATTCAGTCACCTCAAGTGATATGGTTTTTTACAGTCCTTCACCCAGGACTCTGAGATCAGCTTTGTCAGTATTGATATACCATTGATCTTTACAGCCTCAGATGAGAGCAGTGTGCTCTGAAATGAGGCTTGATCTTCGGTGGCGGTTTATATATCCAGCAGAAACGGTACTTGGACAAAACGACCTCTCTGCTGGCAGTGTTGACTTGGATCAGTGAGCAAAAGAACAGAACGCTAGGTCCAAGAAACCTAAGGCCCAAGTAAATGCAGTTTTGCCTTGAAAATAATGACATTTCTGTTCACTACTTGATTATTCTTCAGTGTGCCCTTGCTCCAGGAAACATACTTGCCTTTTGAGACATTTGAGACTTGCCTGTTGAGACATCCCCATGTCTCAATGAGGTTATTTTATTTGTGTCACTCTAGTAGGTAAGGCAAGGGAAGTGGTTGAAAATTGCTGTTCAGTAGTTGGTTTTCTGTGTCCTCAGATGATTCCTCACACAGTTTCTAGATTTTTACTCCATTCTTGCCATAGCAGTTAATTTGTTGGTAGATCCAGAGTCCTTTTCTATCAGTACAATTTCATCTTTCTCTGAAATCATGAACCATTTACTGGCATGGCTCAGGATGTGAAAGCTGTTAGAGTGCAATGTACTGGCTGAGCAACTGATGGAAGGGAAATGCAAGGACCTCTTTGTTTATAATTTTTTCTGGAGTGTGATTCCACGTTGCATCTTTTCTTTTATAAAGTAATGTTTGAACTCCTCCTTTCTCCTGCAGCAGGACAGATGGAAAACAGTGGTAAGTGCAGTGAGCAGGCAGGTACATCAGCTCTTCCCACTAATCTAATGTTTGTAACAACAATTTTCTTCCTGGGACTGTGGAGACCACTGTATTGGCAAAAGCAGGATCTCCACTTATTTCAAAGTGCTGTTAAGTATCAATCCTTGCAGTGTCACGGTGCATTTAGTGCATTTCTTGTGGAATACAGTGATAAAATAAAAAGCAAGCAGTAATAGCAGCGGCTTAAAAAATATGTGGTTTTTTGCTTGCGTGTGCATGTGATGAAGTGATGCAGGATACAACTGTTGGTTTACTCAGATTTCTCACCTAAACCTCCTATAAAGGATCATGTCTTATTTTTTTCCAAGACACCAAAATAACTGCATACTTTTAATTTTATTGTAAAAAAAAAAAAAAGGAGGTGCACACAGTCTGAGAATCATGAAACCGAGAATATATACCAGATATAGCTTTCCTGAGGGAAAATCCCATGAAGCAATACAGCTTTTCTGCAAAAGTTAGTTTTGTGCTTCTTGTTTGGGTCATGCATAAAAAAATGAGACTACTTCTTTGCATGTAGAGAAGTTTGATGTATGAAACTTTCTCTATAAGAAAACATGCACTTGAAATAGCAAAATGCTTTTGAGTTTCCTATGTCTGCTGTATAATAGATTTTCTTTGGAACAGATCTGAAATAAGATTGTTCAAAATCAATCCAAAGCTGTCGTGAAGACTTTTTATAACATTTTTTCAGTAGTGTGATCATGATCTCGTTGATTATGGTCTTGTTTTAAATTATTTAAGAGTATTAGCTTGATTTTTCACTTCATCTTTTGATCCAAGGGATGAAGGGCAGATACGGTAGGTTTTCCCTTCAGGCATTCCCTGGTAGGTGTCAGGAGGAGAGCTTCCAGGCTTTCTCTATCCAGTGCAAGGGAAGACACTGAGACCCTCCCATCCATGAAAGCAGGTCAACCAATGGGTGGTAAGACCAGATTTATTGCCTTAGTGAGAACTACTGCCATCAGGTGCAGAGCTGTCTGACATGAACCCTAAATATGCCTGACTAGCTCCCCTTTGGATCGTCTTTTCTTCTCCCTTTTCCCACCTCGTTTTCTTCTTCTTTACCAGCCTCATTCTCTCTCAAACCAACCAACCGTGTCTGATTACTTTTTCCTCTGTTGGTCTCAGTTTTGCTACATCCTTACCCAAATTTGGGATTTCTGTTGCCATTTCTTGATTAATCTCAGATTTGCATAGAATCGCCTTGGTGTTGTCAGCACTTGCAAGATTGTACTTACCAAAATGTCCCAAATATAGTCTTTCAGTTATTTGTGAGAAATGGCCAGACCTCACAGAATTTCCCCATAATTGTGAAATCCAGTCATCCCTTATGGCACAATTCATAAATTTTTTGTCATCCTCTCATATCTTTACTGTGAAGGTAAATGAGCACCGGCACAGGTTGCCCAGGGAAGTTGTGGTGTCTCTAGACATGGTGATATTTGAAATCCGTCTGGACATGGTCCTGGATAACCAGCTCTAGGTGGACCTGTTTGAGCGAAGGGGTTGCACCAGGTGACATCCAGAGGTCCCTTCCGACCTGGTCTGTGGTTGCATGAACCTGCCATCATCAGGACATGTCTTATCCCCTTCCTACAGACCATGTGACAAGTGCTGACCAGTTGTAAGGGGTCTTGGATTCTTTCGTTACATTCTGTCAAAGACACCTCTGGCAATGCCAGTGCAAGACTGTGTGTTTGCACTAGTTGCATGCTAGATTTTCCATTTTCTAAAAGTAAAACAAAGTAACTACTGTGTATTATTTTAATGAATAAATACAAGTCATGACAGAAATCTGTAATGCTCCCCATATACCTTTCACTGGATAGAATGCAGTCACCGCAAAATATTAATGATCAGTAACAATAATGAGATTATACAAATGTCCAGAGTTCCTGAATTCATTTTGCTTTGTGGTGTTTAATGTTTACCAGCCAAATTACATTCGTCCTTTAAGTTCTGAAATATTTTTTTTAAATAGACTATTTTGATCTCTTACTCTCTCTTGCTAGTGCAAATGATGTTACAAAATCTAAAGAGCACATAAATATGTGCTAAGTGGTATTTACAGAAGAAATTACATATATATATAAACCCCAAATTCCTTATAGCTTCAAATCTTCGTTACTCAAATATGTGCAAAAATTTATGACAGAGTATTAGATTGAAAAGGTATCAGCTCAAGAACATAGACTACAGCATTTTACACCCCCAAATGTGACTATTTGATTAGAAAGCAATTACAAGTCAGGTTCAAAGGATCATTCTAGTTGCCCCTTTATCATTTAGCAAAGGGTATACATATATAGAAAATTTCTCTAATTCATGAAATTTCAAAGAACACAGTTACAAATTTTTAAGCAGTTTGATGAAATGTGACATAACTATTATTTGACATAAGTCTCTTCAGACAAGAAATTCAGAAAACTCTTTAACATTCACTGTTGTTGATTTGGTCTCATAGTTTAATTATTTTAAAAAGCTACTATTATTATAAATATTACACATAAATATGGGAGTGCCTTCAGGAGATGAGGTTAAAATCTGGTCCTCTACACATAAAAAGTCAGAGCGTTGCAAGCTTACCTTTGCAATTAGCTGTGATATTTTTGTATTTTGCTTTTCACTTAAACCCCATTTTTTTTAGTTTTATATCTGCTAGACTATGAGCAGCTGAGTTATGCTTTTGGATATACTGTACTCCCAGCTCAGTGCTAAGCAGCAACTGTTTTTCTCAGTGAGCTAAGACTGTTCTTAAATTTGTGACGCTGGAGGTCATCACCAGCCATTGAATTAAATGTCACTTGGAAAGTCACTGACTTTCATTTTTTCCCTTAAAGGTAAAATTGACAGAAGTATAGAGTCACTATAATCAGGTGTTTCTTGGATGTCAGATGTTGGATACTTTCTTGCAGTTGTTGATGTCTTTCTGACTCTTAGTCAATGACAATAAGTGATTCTAGATGTAGAAGAAAAAGGCTCCTTTTCTCCATGTAAGTAGATTCTGTAAAGATGGTTTTCAGCCTTGTGGAGAATATCAGAGTAAGACTGAATTTAAGTTCTAGAGCTGTAGTTAGCCCTTCCCTATGCAGTCCCCTTTGTGCAATGGTGGGCATCACTCATGATGAAGAGTCATTTGCCTCACTTGGCTCTTGACTTAGACTCTATCTCAGTTTATCCTGCTTGTGAGCAGTTCTAACTTTCCTGCACTGGGGATATTCCCAGTATATGCCGTGGTTGTGATAGCACCCTTAAGAATGTCTCTGGGTAACATTCAGAAGAGGAGATGCAGAAGCATTGCCAGCACTTGCTCATCAGCTGGTGTGCTTGCATCTCTCAGTTGTTGAAGGACTGCAGGACCACGAGATGCTCTAGGTTTCTCTTCTGACCCATCAGTTGCTGTTTTTTTTCCCCACTGGTTGCCTTACATTTAGTCTTCGTAGTATGTAGGTTGCAAGTGAAAGGTACTTTTACGTTTGCTCCCTGTGTATATAAGAGATTGGGCTTTCTTCTTTCTGGGACTTGCAAAAGAAGTGTTGTCATCCCCTGTTAAGGAGAGATAGGAAGCGATACTTTCCCTCAGGCCATAGCTGAGACAAGAATCATCCATTGCTGCGAGGGTGCTTGCAGTATCTTCAGTCACCTCCAGCCTTTAA